ACATATTTTATTTTCATGCAGCAAATAATTATTAAATATAACTGCATTTCGATATCACATAAATGTTACAATGACTATTAATACAAATATTATAATACATGCAGTTGACGATAATTCAAAAGATAGAAGAATCGTTAGATTAAAACACATGCATCAATGTGCGACATTTATAAATAATAATGCTAATAAATGACAAATACCCGAAGCTGCTCCAGCCAGTTTCTAACTTCGAGAAACGACGATTCATTGGTCAGGTCAAAAATTAGTAGGAAACCCATAGAATCCCGATAAAAGGCTGTGGTTAGACTTCTGAACCTGGATATTAACAATGTTAAGCTACTTGTGTGGAAAGTTAGATTGGGAGTCTTAATCCTCTGTTTACACATGCTGGATGCAATATCATACATATTGATTAGAACTATACCAATACATTTTTTCTTTGGATCTTTCATCTTTGGAATAGTTTGTATTAAATAGTTTGTATTTAGCAAGCTTTCACAGTAACGTAATTGAGTTGAGATATCATAATATAATGCAGAATATAATATAATGCAGAATATAATATAATTCAAAATCGCATTCTTATATTACCTTCTAACAAGCGACTTAGTACAACATAGTGATCACCTCATCCTTGTTTAACATTGACGAACAAGGATATAATGATGCACTATATCACACCATGTCATGTGTGGAAAATATCCATTGTCTCTATCATGAATATAACATAAATATGCAAGTATATCTCATTCGTTTGTTAAAATTTAATGCTGATTTGTCAAAGTGCAACAAATGCATGTTAATTATTGTACATTGGTTTTCCTGAAAATGCTCCTAGATTTCTCTGGTATATTTACCTTTCTTGACCGGCTGTGTCCCAAAGCTGCAAATGCACTCGTTGGCTTCTACCATTTTCCGTTTGATATATCTATAATAATAAATAAAATTTTTCTCGATACATTTTTATTTAGCTTGTGTGGGATCATTAATTATTCAAAAACTGCCATCGCAGACATGTTTTCAAACACAAGAGGCTTTCTCAAAAGTATGTAGACTTTAAATGACCGACGCTACCAAAAAAGTAGTGTCATTCTCTCACCACTCGCTTCTCCTTGAAATCGATTCCAACAGTGGATATGAATCTGGAGTTGAAGGTACCGTCTGTATACTGATAGAGAAAACTCGTTTTGCCGACGCCGGAGTTTCCGAGCGCCAGGAACTTCACCAAATAGTCATAATTCATTCTGTCGTGAACGCCTCGGTCGAGAATTCCACGATGGTCCCAGAGAAGATTGTCAATAAGACGTGTCGAATAAACGATCCAGCTGGAGGGTGAATGATTGTTGTCGAACGTCTCGTCTCTCGTTATCGACGTCAATTATCAAAGGCGCGCGGCTATCAACGTGGACACCTGTTGCCAATGTTGCCTACATATGCCACTTTCAAAAGGTCCGCGTTTATTGACGCGGTACGCCGTCAAACTACGTCGCGGACCAAGCAATCGTCTTCCAAAAATCAATCACTCGTATGCCCGAGCTCGTATCTCCAGTCAAATCTGACGCGTGTCAAGTCAGCGCACCCCCAATAAACCGCAACCCGATTACTCCGCGATTACAACAGATCGTGACGTCCGTGATGGCAGACGACAGACAGGCCCGCACTACCCGCGCAGAAAGCAATGGCGCTGCTAGCGCGTGGCACAGGGCTGTCAACACCGCTACAGGCGGAGACTAATGCCCATTTCTACCAACGTAGAATTAACTTTAATCTCGGTTCAACTTACTCTTTGCTTTTTCTAATCTTTAAAAATATTTAGAAATGGGCATTACTCTTTGTCTTTTTCTAATTCTAAAGATTAGAAAAAGACAAAGAGTAAGTTAAACCGAGATTAAAGTTAATCTATGTTAATGGAAATGGGCATAAGAGTATATCTACATAAATAAAATTATCCATTATCACATTTTACATGCGTCTTTATAAGAGAAATGCAGTTGGATAATTTTCGATATTATATTCCAGAGTTCTGATTAGATGGCTCGTTATTCCCTGTTGCCTGTGCCTATTGTGTTTAAACCTTAACGTAGTACATTTTCTATAGAAAGAGAAACATAAAGTTAACAAGGAAAGATTCAGTATCCATTTTACGACGCGAAACAGGCCGGTATTCATAGTTGATTCTTGCATTTAAGACCGGCTTAAGTACAATCTTAAGATGTCATAAGTCAATCCGAGGACTGTATTAGCATTTTAAAACATTACTTAAGACAGTTTTTAAAATAAACACGGACTATTAATATCACTCCATGTTTAGCGTTTCACAGTTGGCAGCCTTTTCCCCTGACGCGACATTCCTAGCAGAGACGGCGGAGATTTAGAGAGAGATGTTTGCAAAGTGAGTACACCATTTTATTCCTTCCACTATGATTTGATCTCCTTATTACTCTGACTGTGGTCAAAGTCTCGCTTACAAATGCTTTGAAGCATTTGATGGACCAATTACAATAGAAGAAAAAATTTTACAAACTGTTAAAAAACGCTTCAAAGCGTTTGCAGCATCGTACCTTCAGTACTGTGCCGTAAAAATTGCATGTACATACATTTTAACGTAATTCTCTATGCTATTTTATCGACAAGATCAGAAAATGGATGTAGTCACGTAGTTTCCAACCAAAAATGGATGTACTGGCGATTTCGACGGTGACAAGAAAAAGGCAGACATGGCCTTTCTTAAGTTTCTCTCAGTTTCTGACGGAATCAAGTAGAATCTGGGATCTGGGATCCGGGATCAAGAGAGAGAATTTAATAAGTACCATAGGCATGTATAAACATGTATATTTAATAACGAGTAAGAATATTGTTTCATTCATTCATTCATTCATTCTATTGTATATATACGTCCCGATTTTTGTTTTCTTTTATCACGCAACACGTGAGTTTTTTAATTCATCGATTAATCGCAAATATAGCTTTTACAAGACGAAGTTACATTTGTCCATAACGCGATTGATTAAACGATAAATTGATATCTTAATGAGAACGAAAATGATTGTTTACTGTGCATAGTTGCTGTACTGGATTCTATTTTTGATGATGCTACTCAGCTACTGCGTGTGTCAACAAAATATAAAAACAAAAAAACACGTGATGTTAATGTATGCACATCGGTATTATTTTTATTATCGATTATTGTATACATAGATTAGGTTAGATTATGCTCTAATAAAACACTGTTTTTAGTGGATAAATTGTCAATAGTAGGTGGACAAGTACATTGATGTACTACAGATCCATGACTTAAAATATGATAAAATAGCAGAAGAAATGAATGTAAAAGTTGACGTCGAATATTGGTGAGTCCACAATCATTTAATTTTAATAGAATTCTTCATTAATCCATATTATAATCAACAGGATTTAAATTCTCTTTTTAGATATAAAAGTACATCTTATTCTTTAATCCTAATGTTAATATTATATTTATTTATATTATTTATAGAAATCATAAGAAAGAAATAATTTAATTAAGAAATAGAGCACGTTATATTATATATTAAGTGAATAAATTTAGAAATTTTATAAATATCCTAGCAAGATGTTTAAACATAAGTTATTATATAAATAATACAATTTATAATATTAGAAAGATTTTTAATATAAATATTTATATTTATCTGGAAACTTAAGATTCTCTTAAGCAAGGAAAAAATATTTGATCTTTGTAATAATACTTAGGACCACAAAAATATTTTTGGACACAAGTTAGAATAGGTACTTATCTATTATACATTTTGAATAACTGATTCTAAATTCGTAAGCTGTTTTGCTCCATTACATTTTTAGATAATTGAAAAGAATAGCAAATCTATAAAATTGAAATATTTAAGAAAGAAGCAAAAGTAAACACGACATTAAAATACAGTTGCAGAATTAATTTAAATTTTGATAAGTTAAACAAAGTGTAAGAAACAAAAAAAATTTCTTTACTAATATTAGATATTATATTAGGTGTTGGAATTAATTCGTAGCGTTTTTAATGAAAGAATGTTATTTATTTCACATGAGCATTAAAAAATACATTAATGAAAGTACTTCCCATCACTTGTAAAACGCTACGAATTAATTCCAACACCTAATAGTTTAACAAATCATAAAACAAATCAGTTAAAAAATTATTTTTTTATAAATGTAATTAAATATTCAATTTTTATATTGTGAGCTAGATGCATGTTTATGCTTAATAAATTTGCTAACGATTGTCACCATTTTGCTAAATCTTAAATGTATGTCTATTTAATACATTTTTTAAATATAAAAATTTTTAATTTGGTTTATTTTTTGCTAATTAATTATCAAATAGAAGTTTTTTACAACAATTATTATTTTTATTTATAATTGTTAAAGTAAATAATAAATTTTTTTTTAATGTGGTCGTGAATATTGGGAAGTTTGCCTTGTATCATTTCCAAATTTATTTAATATAAAAGATAATATAAATTCATTTAATATAAAAGAATATATACTTATTGAAATTGTTTCTTTAAGATTTCTGTAAACTATATACATGAATATAAAAGAATATTAAACGTACTTTTTTAAAAGACTTTTATTTATAAATATATCTTCTGACTAAATAAATTACTATAATTTTGCAGTGGTTCGTGCGGGCACAAGAAACACTTTCTTGAATTGGCAGAGGAAATAAAGAAAAATGTCCCCAATGCCACTGTCTCTGGTACAGCAGGAAGGCAAGGCAAGTTACAAACAAAACACGAATATGAAGCATATAATCAGAACTAGAGTAAATACAAAACACAAATATCGAGCAAATGAAAATCTTATAATTGTTATTTTTAGCCTCGTTCGAAGTGCAAGTCAACGATGAGCTAGTATACTCTAAACTCGAAACTCTCGCGTTTCCAGACTTTGGTGCAATTGCGGATATGATCAAAGATGTATCTGCGGGTAAACCAGTGAAGAAAATTGAGCATCAGGCTGCAGACTGTATATTATTATAAACACATTTTATTATAAATCAGGTATAAAATAAAAATCATTTTATTGATAGAGGAAAGGAGGCCCACATATTCTTTTGCCCTCTTATTCCATAACCATAATCTTTTTTCTTCTATAGTTTTTTTTTTTATTGGAATCTCTTTGTGACTAACAACCTTGTATTAAAGTAGCTAATATATGAATATTTACTGAGTTATTTCAATAAAATATAATAGTATTTTATTGATTATTTTCATAATCCCTCCCTTCCTCTACAGTACTAAGTACTTAATAGAACAATATAAGATTCTTCTGTAATTTGCTCAGGATTATACGTAAAGTTCAGATAATCATTTAGAAATTATTAGGAACAGTAAATGTGATCGCCAATCTTAAGCATACCCTGCGTATTCTCCAATCTAGTTAAGTAGATTCCAAATTTCAACTTTCCATGGAACTTTTCCGCTAATGTTCTCAATGGTTCGATAGTCTTTTCACCAGTTATTTGATCAATGCATATCATTTGACATCTTGTGCAAGGACCATTTATCTGCCAATTAAATAAATGCGTTATAGCAATATACTTCGAATTAATAGCTTTGTGAATATAAAAAATTCATACTTTAAAGTTATTATTTCCAATGCGAATATGTTCCCATTTCATTTCATCAAAAGCTTCACAGCCTTTCACAATAATGTTTCCTCTGAAGCGATGCACAGCTGTATCTTTTATAAAATCTAAGTCATGAGATATCTTATCACTGAGCCATGACACACTTGCTTCGTTTATTGCTAAATATTGTGCCTGACTAGAAAATGATAACTCTGTCTTATCTAGTCCTATAAGAAAAAAATAAGGAATTTACGTAATCGTAACTTTGAACTTGAATATTTTGACATTTGTACCTTTCTTTTCTCTTCTGTGACTTTGTCGTACTAGCCTAAGTTTTGGTTTGCCAAGTGCTAAACTCAACCATTCAGAAACTTCTGATCCGCAATCAATACCTTCTACTCTGCTTTCACATATTCTACTTTGACATATAGGATGTTTTATTGACTTTCCATAAGTATTTTCTAAAGAAATTTCGATCATTGGCATTCCTAGAATAATTTATTATTATTATGTCTAAGTAACGCTACATTGAGGAAATGTTGGAACGAAGGCAATTATCACGAATTGTGCAACAAAAATTTTCGAAGGTTGAAGGATTCCAACATTGTTTTTTACAGAATTAAGATATGTGCAAATAAAAAATCCGATGTATTTGATTTCACAAGAAAATCGCACAAAAATGAAAACATTTACTTTTGGCTCGATAATTATTACCTGAAGTTAAAGCTTACTTGATATAAAAGTTTTATAATTTATATGAGTAGCATAAGTATCCACCTCGAATTACTTGAACAATATTGAATTTGTAGATTGAAAGAGCCTAAAAGAAAATATTTTAGGTTGAATGTAATTCACGTGTATTACTTAGCAAAGAATGATAAACAGAGCAGTAATCGTATCTTTAATAAATGTTTCAGCTTGCAAGAGTACTGCACTATATCAGATAAGGATCTAACACGTTTAGAATGATCTACACGTTTGAGTGAGACAAAAAATAATGTAAGAAACTGAGTTAAAAAAAATCTATATTATCGATATCGAAGTTTAACCGTCGCTTCAACATTTCCTTAAATTGCAGATTACTAAATCTACAGAACTTAATCATTATTACCTGGATATGTTAATTTCATAATTTTTTGCTTTTTAACAACAATCGGCTTCAGCAAACATAAATTCGTATAATGTTTTTGCGTCAAGCAAGTTCCAGAAGATGTCATTATCATCCACTCTCTATCATATTCTAGACCTTTTGAATTTAAATTCCATGAATCTGTAATTTCATATGCTCCACATGATTTGATAGGATATATAAATAACCGTTGTAAGATACATTTATTTATTTGCGTATTTATTTTATTAAAATTTATAAAATTTCTAATATTATGATCAAGATTTTTATTTTCATTATGGAAATTATTCTGAAAATTATTTACATTTTTTTCGTTTTTTATAATACATGAAACAGAATAATCTATATTAGTATTGTAAAAATTCTTATATATATGATTTTTAAAAATTCCCATCTTGTGATCTTTCCACCATTCGGGAAATTTTCTGATGCATGGTTTGTCAATGAAACATTTGGTAATCATGAGTAAGATTGTCTGAACATCCTCTATTGTAGACATATATCCGAAGGAAATTCTCACTGCTCCAGTTGGTTTCCCATTTATTAAATCTGCGATACCACCGCACGTATATCCCGCCTCGTAATTTTGAAGAATATCTTTAGTCGAGAGAGATAAATGTCTCTGACATGCACCGGGATTACAAAAGCAGCCTGTCCTTAGATGTATCTTAAATATTGCTGCCATATTTAGAACTTCCATGTATCCTACATATTCACCATTGGAGCGCATAACATTAAATGTAACAATGCCACCTTGCGATTTGCGATCCTCATAATCAGAATCAGAGTAGAGCTTTACGACTGGTTTGTCATTACAATGATGTAATATTAACAGGGAATGATGCAAAGTTTTAGCGAGTGAAAAAACATGTTTTGATATTTGATCCATAGTTAGTTTCGAAAGTATTTCAAAGCCATATTGTAACGATGCGATAGATAGAAATGGCACAGTTCCATCTTCAAATCTGTAAATCAAATTGTTTCAGATAATCAATATGATATGAGAACGCCTGTTTCAAATAATTTTTTGGAAGTCATGCTACTCTTACTTACCTTTGATACAATATTTGACGTTTTCTATGAAATCTTTCAAAACTCAGAGCTATATCCACAGTACCGCCACCATAATACATTTTATCTAGAACATCTGAGCTTTTGTTTTTAACCAGCAGAGCGCCAATACCGGTGGGATAGCCGAACATTTTATAAAATGATAGACATACAAAATCTGGTTTGTAAATAGACAAATCCAATTTATTCGTTGCCGCGAAGCTAGCTGCGTCGAGTAGAACGTACCATCTGGTCGATGGTTTTTTAGCAAAAACAGAAAGCGCCCCAGCATGCGTATCACTGATCCATTTTAGGGGATACTTCAATCCAGAAAAATTGCATTGCGCAGAATACACAAAAAGAGAATTACTGTTCCGTTTTTCGTTGGAATCATGAATAGTAGTTAAACGTTGACCGAGAACTTTAAACGCTTGATCATGATTTAGGCAAATGACGTCGGCTCCTCTTGTCGCGACTACATCCCGCATCCCGAGAACCGAAGTGTGATTGTCCTGTATGTAAACAAAACTTCCCGAATGTGAGGACGTTGCTAACTTGTTGTTTTCATCCGTTGTAAAACGAAATCCTTCCGCGATTATCTTTAAACTCGCTGTGGCACCCGAAGTGAAGATGACACTGTACTCATCAGGATTCGTGTTGAAGTGACTTAAAACTCTAAGAATAATTATTCAAATTAATTGTAAATTCGTTGTTATATTATAATCGTCCATTTATCTGTGACTCTCACCGGTATCTCATACGTTCGATAATGTCTTGCGTCAGCGAACTCCCAGTGGAATGGGGATTTGTATAGAGAGAGCCATGCAAATTGGCACTAACATTTCTAATCTGCGTATCCGAATACAGAGTTGTGCCCGCGTGATCCACGTAGCATTCGTCTAAGGATCACAGAAATAATTTAGCAGCATTTTTTATATAACATCATTCATACGGTACGTTTCCCTTGTATTAAATTAAATTTAAAATATTAAATTGAAGATCATTTTTTATCATATAAATGTTATTATTAATCTTATAGTGATAAATCAATAATCCAGTATTGATTTTTTAATCACGATAGAAATATTTAATATAGTAAAAAGAATGCAGAAAATATTAGTGAAATATATTTGCAAAACATTTTAAAGTTATCGGACATTCTTTCATTAGGATCTTTTGGTCAATTTGGATTATATCTTAATGAAAACGTTAAAGCATCTATAATTTTTATTTCAATTAATGAAACAAAGTGAGAAACTAAGAAACTTCGAGTGAGAAAAAGTATAATACAATTAAGAAAAGTTGCATATCATCTAAATTATCCAAATGTATGACGTAATATAGGCACATCAATGCACAGTGCAGGTATTATTCTTACATGTACCGTCATTGTGCAGTGATGGCGCTACGAAATGCCTTAGACACAGAAATAAATCTTTTGGAGAGAGGAAGAGAGAGAAAGCGAGAAAGACGTGATTAAAAGAAGTATTATATTTTTAATTACATAATATTATACTAAATAGTCAAAAACGTTTTGAATTACTTTCCACCGTTTTTATTTTCAAATTTATTTTTATATATAAATTTATTTAGAAACCACAACAATTATTCTTTAAAATAAAAATCATCTTCGATAACCATTCGTCACTATTATTACCAATACTGTCAACTGTCGTATTTCATCATCTGATGAAATGACTCCTTAGACGCGAAGAACTCACGACAGTCTATCTCAACTTACTCAATAGTTTTGAATCATATCCTGGCAAGAAAAGTTTCATTGAACGAAATAAGCCGTAATTAAACTATACAAGATAAGGATTATATATCGGGTGCGATAGGACTTATAGAGCCGTTTAGACGAATAGTGTCTAATTAAACACAGCTAGCAGACTGGTAACAGAATAGTTATTGAGCATGATAGTTTTTATTTTAAGGAATAATTATCATTGTTCTAAAAAAATTTGTAAAAACCATTTTTATGTATAAAATTCAATGAGTGATTTAGAATCTTTTTTGACCTAGTAAGATTTTATCATTCAATTGAAAGCACATTGAAAAGCACAAGTAAAAATAACAAAATTAATATACCTCATACATCACGTTGAGCTCCTAACACTGCTGCTATTTTAACTATTGATACTTATGCAATTTTAATTTACTTTTTATACTCTATCTGAATGTACTCATTTCTATACATGGATGACTAAATCTACGTATAAAATAGTTCCAAATCTATATATTGGGTCATCTAAAAAGTATTCGCGGTTTTTTGTCACTAGATGGTGTTGATGTCAACACTATCTAGTGACAAAAAACCGCGGATACTTTTTAGATGACCCAATATAAAATAGACGAAATTTATTTACTTTAATATTATTTAAGCCTGAAGTCACGAAAATATTTAAAATTTAGAAGAATACGAGAAGTAAAATTAATTTCTTCAATGACTCAATGACTCACTCACACGAAAACCGGCGAAAAGAGTGTCCGGAAACTTTGAGACGTACTGTACAATAATAAAATCTCATTACGTAAATAACTTATAATGATGTCATCACGCATGTCCTTGTCATGTCACTGTCACGTAGTTGAATCATGTATCAATAAAATAATCTATTATAAATGTAAAGATTTCAAGAAACCATTAATGGAAATGCATCGATGTCTAATAAATTACCAAACTAGTAATTTTATAAATAAAGCAATAAATCAGAAGTCTGTTTTTTGTAACTGAACTAATGTACACTCATATTTAAAATGAAACAGATACATATTTCAACTTTTGAAATTTAACGAAATTTTAGTACGGGTCTTCCCTGAGCATCTCACCTTTAAGCCTTGAGAATTCGTTCGCGAGCGATCGTACGGTGGCATCATCGTAAACTGGTGTAAATTCCACTATAATGTCCATCATGTCTATCGATTTGCGTACCAAATCTTAGGAGCTTGTAGCACACACTGAACTCCAGAGGTCCACTTCCACTATCGCGACAAAGATTAGAGACACGTAAGCTATTACTCAACCGGTTTTTAAGATTCAACTGCGGTAACTATACATCGTCGCAACCAAGTAATGACGTAAAAGAGATTGGACGGAAGCAATCGTGGACGACGTGGACACGCGCGACTGCTCGCGCGGCGCGCTATTTCATGTTGTATGTTCGCTCGCATGTTCATTGTAACGGAGTAATTAACGCAGATAAAGGCCCAATTCCACCAATGTAGGATTAATTTTGATTTTAGTTCAATTTACCTTTTATTAGGGATTATGCACTGGATTTCCGGTGCATCCCTTCTCTTTATTATTTTCTAAATAAATTAAACCAAGATTGAAGTTAATCTTACATTGATGGAACCAGTTCTAAAAGTGTTCATGCGAAAGGCAAACATCGTTATCGAACAAGAAACTTGCGTCCCTCTCCAACACGATATCTATTGTAGACGTATAAAAGACGTATAAAATGACATAAAAAAAGTTCTGATACTTTATCGCTTCGTTGGAGATATACAAATTCGAAAGTAAATAAATGATACTTATCATGGTATTGCATAACAAGAACATTATCAATGACTTACTGTATTTTACTTAACTTTGTTATATTTGTTAAATAATATTTTATAATGGTTAAAAACATTATAAAAATTAAAATAGTGAATAAAGAGCAATGATAGTCGAGCAAGAAGTCAGTGTTTAGTAATGATAATTGTATATTTCACATGAAATCAAATTGACAAAAATTCAAATATGTCGGCTATATTTACATCAAGCTATCTTCCCAGCTAATGCTAAATATTTCTTAAATATTCGTAAAATGTTCCTAAAATCTCAAAATATCATTCCAAGAATATTCTAGAATATCTCAAAATATTTATAGAATGTAAGAACAACATTTAAATAATACTATGTAGTTTATAGTAAAAATTACTTTGAATCGAATTAGATAGATGTTTCTTATAGATTTACAGATGCTGAAAATAATGTTGCAATTGCAGTATCTTTAGAATAAATTTTCTCACAAACGTGACGTGATAGAATAATTTTATTTACACATTCATTTTTAGCGACAAAAAATCTATAGGAAAATCTATAAGAATATTTTCCGGAAAAATTTTTTTCTCTGTAAGACTTTGTCCGTTCGTGGTTTAGAAAGAAGTTTAAATTTATCGGACAATGTAATTACTAATTAAGTAATTAATATTCAATACTCTCCTATTTTATTCTATAATCCTAATCTTCTTTTCCTCTTTAGTTTTTTTACATTCTGTATATGCAAAAAACTTCTACTTATAAGCATAATTAATATCATCATTCTATAGTTAGTAAACTTGTATTAAAAGTAATTATGTCAAATGCATATATTTCTACAGAAAGTTATTTCAATAAAACTAAAGTCCATAAAATTAAATTCCCTTGTTTTCTTTATACAGTACTAAATATTTAATAGAACATATTAAGATATATTACTTAATGGAACATATATAGAGAAATTCTTTTGTATTTTGCTCGTGATAAATTTCAAATAATTATATAGAAATTATTAAGAACAATAGATGTGATCGCCAATCTTAAGTATACTCTGCGTGTTGTCCAATCTAGTTAAACAGATTCCAAATCTCAGCTTTCCATGGAGCTCTTCCGTTAATGTTCTCAATGGTTGCTTGATGATTTTTTCGTCAATTATTTGATCACCTATCATTTGACATCTTGTGCAAGAGTCATTTACCTACCATTAAATGCATTATAACAATATACTTTGGATTAATAGCTTGGTCAATATAAAAAGTTCATACCTTAAAATTGTTATTTCCAATGCGAACATGTTTCCATTGCATTTCATCAAAGGCTTCACAACCTTCCACAATAATGTTTGCTCTAAATTGATGTACTATATCTTTTTGAAAATTTAAGTCATCAGATATTTTATCAATAAACAATGATACACTTGCTTCGTTTACTGCTAAATAAGATGCCTGATTAGATAACTCTGCCTTATCTAATCTTATAAAAGAAAAAAAATTAGTTTTGTATATAATATAAATAATTACAACTTAAAACTTTGACATTTGTACCATTCTTTTGTCTCTCACGATTCTGTCGAATTAATCTAAGATTTGGTTTGCCCAATGCTAAACTTAACCATTCAGAAACTTCCGATCCGCAATCAATACCTTGTACTTTACTTTCATGTACTCTGCTTTGATATTCCATTGACTTTTCATAAACATTTTCTAAAGAAACGTCAATTGTTGGCCTTCCTAAAATAATTTACTATCATTTATGCAGGATTGGATACTAACTAGTTAAAACGTTAAAAGTCACATAAACAGTTAAAAAATTAATAACTCTTAACTTTATTTACTTTCAAATTTTAATTTATTAACTTTTCTTTTTAAATTAAGATTTTTATCTCTCTAATCGCGCTAATATTTCATTTTCTATAAAATCTTAAACATTAAAGAATTAGTTTTGAAAAAGCTAAATGATTACTGGGCGCGATGCTCGTAGTGCCCACAAATGAACATACATTACACATATAAAACGCTGCCCTGATGAAAACAAAAATCGGAGCATAAATCGAATGTAATGAAAGATTAATAGAAGCGTAAACGAAACTTCTAAGAGGTGAAAATTGAAACAATGAAACATAAAAGAGACGTTTCTTCTTTTACATTCCATTGTTTCAATTTTCGCCTCTTAGAAGTTTCGTTCAAGCTTCTATTACTCTCTCATTACATTCGACTTCGGTCCGATTTTTATTTTCACCAGGATGTCAATATTATTGTGTCATATTATCCTTATTTTATGTCTAACGAGCAATAATGAAAGAATAACAACTTTTTATTTATACAGGGTGTCTCGAAATTTGAGGAAAATATTATTACAGTGTGAAACTTTGTAATTAAGTCAAAAAATCCTCTACCACCATTTTGCAATTTTGGCAATTTTCCAATTAGAAAATACAGTACTGAAAAGCTAATAAAAAATTCTGGAAAAATTCTTAGAGCTCTATGAGAAGAAAATAAATAATTTTTGTTTCTTGCTGTTTTTCTGTAAAGTTGATAATACTTGAGTAAAAAATTATTGAAAATCAATATTCAGCGATATTTAATATCTTGTCAACTATTGTGAAAATTATAAACTGGTAGAGGATTTTTCAGCTCAATTTTTCACGAAGTTTCACGCTGTAATAATATTGTCGAATTTCGGGATACTCTGTATATAATTGTCAAGAATGTGCTGGCACGATCAACACAAAAAAGAACAAAAATTACTTAAATTTTTAAAAATTATGTCTTATTTTTTCTTTTATAATGTAATATTTAAATATGAAAATACTTATGTAAAAATACTAAAAATCATTTTTTTTATTGTACAAGAAATATATTTGTTACTTTATATAATTTACAAATAAAATAATATTTATCTTGATGATTTATATTGTAATTGTTTCGTTATTTAAATCAATCTGATTTCAAGAAAAATTAGTATAGTCTGATTTCATAAAAATAATATTTTTTTAAATTAACTTTTTATTTAACTTCAGTTAATTAAATCTTAATTGAGTTCATTCAATTTTTAACTTAATTAAATTTATTTTATAAGACATTAACTTTGACTTAATTTAGTTTAAAAAAACATTAACTTTGCTAATATAATACTATAAAGCTATTGCAGAATACTGTAACTTATTCATAAAATTTAGCCATTATTATGTACCTGGATATGTTAGTCTCATGATATTTTGTTTTCTAAGAATAATAGGTTTAAGCAAATATAGATTCGTTTGATACTTTTGCGTCAAGCAAGTCCCAGAAGATGTTACTATTGTCCACTCTCTATCATATTCTAGACCCTTCGAATTTAAATTCCACGAATCTATAACTTCGTATGCTCCACATGATTTGATAGGATATATAAGTAACCGTTGCAAGGTACATTTGTTTATTTGTATATTTATTTTGCTGGAATTTATAAAATTTCTAATCCGATCAAGATTTTCATTTTCATTATGGAAATTGTTCTGAAAATTATTTTTCTCTTTTTTTGTAATACGTGGAATAGAATAATCTACATTAGAATTGTAAAAATGCTCATGATTTTTAAAAAGTCTCAATTTGCGCTCTTTCCACCATTCAGGAATTTTTCTGATACACGGTTCGTCAATAAATTTGGTAATCATAAGTAAAACAGTCTGAACGTCTTTAATTGTAGACATATATCCGAAGGAAATTCTCACTGCTCCAATCGGTTTCCCATTTATCAAATCTGTTTCACCACCGCATATATATCCGGCCTCGTAATATTTAAGAATCTCTTTTGTCGAAAAGGATAAATGTCTTTGACATGCACCGGGATTACAAAAGCAGCCTGTCCTAAGATGTATCTTAAATGATGCTGCCATATTTAGAACTTCCATGTATCCTACATATTCACCATTGGAGCGCATAACATTAAATGCAACAATCCCTCCTTGTGAGCTACGATCTTCATAATCAGAATCACAGTAGAGTTTTACAACTGGTTTACCATTACAGTGGTGTAATGTTAATAGAGAGTGATGTAGAGTTTTGGCGAGAGAAAATACATGTTTTGATATTTGATCCATAGTTAGCTTCGAAAGTATTTCGAAACCATATTGTAATGACACGATAGATAGAAATGGCACAGTTCCATCTTCAAACCTGCAAATCAGGTTGCTTCAGATAATTATTTCAAAATGCTGTTCTTACTTACCTTTCATACAATATTGAACGTTTTCTATGAAATCTTTCAGAACTCAGAGCGATGTCTACAGTACCGCCACCGTAATATATTTTATTTAGAACATCTGAGCTTTTGTTTTTAACCAGCAGAGCGCCGATACCGGTGGGATATCCAAACATTTTATAAAATGATAGACATACAAAGTCTGGTTTGTAAATAGACAAATCCAATTTATTCGTTGCTGCGAAGCTAGCTGCGTCGAGTAGAACGTACCATCTGGTCGATGGTTTTTTAGCAAAAATAGAAAGCGACCCAGCATGCGCATCACTGATCCATTTAAGGGGATACTTCAATCCAGAAAAATTGCATTGCGCAGAAAACGCGAAAAGAGAATTGCTGCTTTGTCTCTCGTTAGAATCACAAGGAGACGAAGGCTGACTGAGGATCTGAAACGCCTGATTATGATTCAGGTAAATGACATCAGCGCCTTTGGCCGCAATAACATCTCTCATGCCAAGGACCGACATGTGATTGTCCTGCACATAAACAAAACTTCCCGAATGCAAGGACGTTGCTGTCTTATTATTTTCATCCGTCGTAAAACGGAATCCTTCCGCAACTATCTTTAGACTCGCTGTGGCGCCCGAGGTGAAGATAACAGTGTACTCATCAGGATTCGTATTGAAGTGACTTAGAATTCTGAGAATAGTGATTCAAACTAATTATAAATTTGTTATTATATACGCGCTCATTTATCTGCAGTCTGCAGCTGTAATCTCTCACCGATATCTCATACGATCAATAATGTCGTGCGTCGGTGAATTCCCAATGGAATGTGGATTTCCATAGAGAGAACCATGTAGATTGGCGCTAGCGTCCCTGACCTGCGTTTCTGAATACAGAGTTGCACCCGCGTGATCCACATAGCACTCGCCTAAGGAAAAAAATATGGAAATAACAGCATTTTTCAATATCACATTCATTTGATATGTTTCCTTTGTATTCAATTAAATTTAAAATATAAAACAAATGTAAAAAAGATCTGCATTTGTTATCAAATAAATTGTATTATTAATCTTCTTGCACGTTGCCGCACCTACAGTACAAGAATATATATATATATATATATATATATACGGTTATGATGTATTTATATGTTTCTAGAAATTTTCTGAAAATAAATAAAATTTGACAGATATAAGGTACTCAAATTCAAATCAAAATAACATGGCAAAAAGTTTTCGAAAAATTAAGTAAAAATGTTATGTATAACGTTTTTATTTTAAAGAGTCGTTACTGAGACGTAAGGGTTTAAATATAATCAATTATAGATCACATTTAGACGATCACCTGCCATCTATAAATTACGCGTGTGATAGTATTAGTAAGCGCACCATTCAGTATTTAAATATTATTCATCTAATGCCCGTTTCTACCAATGCAGTTTAACTTTAATAGGCTATTAGCATCTTAAGACATTACTTAAGATAGCCTTATAAAATAAGAACGGATTATGAATATCGCTCTAAAAAAATCTCCTCCTCCAAGCATCTTACCTTCAAGTCTCGTGAATTCGCGAGCGAGTGATCGCGCAGTGTCATCATCATATACCGGCGTAAATTTCACTATATTCTCTATCATGGCGTCCATCATATATCGATCAATTTCGTGTAAGATCTTAGGATCTTGTGATGTATTAGGTGTTGGAATTAATTCGTAGTGTTTTTTAATGAAAGAATGTTATTTATTTCACATGAGCATTAAAAAATACATTAATGAAAGTACTTTTAAAACTTATAAATACTTTGTAAAACGCTACGAATTAATTCCAACACCTAATATATCAAACACACTGAATTCTAGAGCTGCACTATCGATACGCTGAAAATCGAAAATATGCAAACAATTGTTCAGTTTAAGTTTCAATTACAACCGCTGCGTACAAGGATTAATGAAAGAAATCGAACCATCAACATATATATAGAGTGCATTCAATACTATAATTTCATTACTATACGCTCACTAAGTAGTTAAGTATTGCTATTTGTGAATAGCAATTTAACATAATTAATTGGATCTAAAGGTAAGATAATCTCAACTTGCCACTGCTACTTAGCCGCTCAGTGAGCGCTTTTACTACTGAATACACTTATTATTCATTTTATATATATATATATATATGAATAATTAGGATCGCGATTTTCCTCTAAAAAAGAGGGAAAAAGAAAAAATTAATATAAATAAATAGAAGGACTACGAACCAGTTAAAAATAAATTAAGAACATTTAATATTCCAAAATAAATATAAAGAAATACAATAACAAACGTTTCGATGCCGATCGGGTCATTCTTAATGTTAAGATGTTACATTCAAAAAATTCTAATATTACATAATTTTGAAAGCGTCTTAACATTGAGAATGACCTGATCGGCATCAAAACGTTTGTTATTATATTTCTTTATATTTATTTCGGAATATTATGTATAAATGTATTCTTAATTTATTTTTAACTCGTAACTTTTTTATTTATTTATATATTGGATTATTTATTTATTTATTTATTTATATTGGAAAAGAAAAATTTATTTAAAAGCACTATTTTGTTAATCAAAATTTTATTGAAATATTTTTATTAAAATATATTATAGATATCTCTTTTTGTTAATTATTAATATTATCTATAATAATCATTATATTTCTTGTTTAATTTTTTCTATATGTAATTTTTTATTAACTATTATTCGTTAATTTTTTGTTAATTAGTTAAAAGAAAAAAATACATTTCTATATAAAAATAATAAAAAATAATATATTTCCTTGGTATTTTATGCAAACTTTTTTTACAATAAATTATTAAATTTCGATAATCCATACTGTAATTATTTTTTCATTTAAAATAATTTAATTTCAAAAATTACATTTTAATATAAAGTATTTTTATAAAATAACTTTTAATCTAAAACTAGAGTCCTAGATAAAGGCTTAAACACAATAGGCACAGGCAATAGGCAACAGGGAATAACGAGCCATCTAATCAGAACTATGGAATATAATATCGAACTTACACACTAGAGCTTTGGACGACTCATTATTCCCTGTTACCTGTGCCTATTATGTTTAAGTCTTAACAGAAGCATAATTAAAGCATATTTAAAGGTTATAATTAATCGTCCAAAGAAAAAATGGCGACCTGTGTTTACATCTGTCATTCCACAAACGGAGTGTGATTTCTATAACAATAGTGTTTCTACTGACCATAAAGAAATACTGATTCTCTTTGGAGACTACAGTACATATCAAGATTTAAAAATAGTGATACTTACCGAGATAGAATCCTAGAAGATTATCCGTAGAAAAAAATGGCGGAACCAATCAGAAATCGAGACAGCGGTTGCGCTTCTCTGTTATATCTAGGACTCTATCTAAAACTTAAATTAATTTTATAGATCATTAACTTCAACTTAGGTAGTAAAAAAAGATTAACTTATTTAATCCCGATATTTACCTATCTTTTAAAAAGACGCTCTTTATATAAAAAATATGGCGATAGAAATGTTATTCACAAATCATAACATTAAAGATGCCGACTGTTGCTATCTTAACTGTTTCGTGTTAAACTGTCTCCTGTGTACTACCTCTTATTCTACAGTAATTATATTACTGCTTAGTTCGTTTATATATGTCAGTAGATCGAAAAAAAACTAATAATATGCTCAGATATTTATATCATAATGAATAATTAAGAGTATCCGCACGTTATTTAACTTGATAAAAATCAAAGTGACCTTTTTAATTAATATGAAAAGAAAGAGCATAAAGAACCACAGCACAAGGTGTAGTTAGTGATATTTAATTATTCTTGCATTACGAATTACAATAAAAACATTAAACGTTTCGGCCACAATCTGGCCATCTTCAGTAAAATTAATAATATTGTTAAGACGCAGAGTTACATCAAGTTGGAATCAAATTCAACCCTCGTGTATTATAATTGTAAAGATCGTGTTTGCATCAAAGCGACGCTGCTTCATAATAATGTTAGAACGTCAGAAGTCATGTAGTAAAAAGTGTAGAATGAGAATTTCCAGATTCTAATTTACAATAATTTATTTTATTATTAATATCTTTTAAAACGGAGTATAAAACAAAGGAAACATTACCATTTTACAGCAAAATAATCGATTAATTACAAGTATACTCATTTCACACATAGAAATTTGTCGTGACACTATGTGTTATTGGTCGTATCACATATTTTTCCGCTATTTATACCCATGAATCGAATAATTTATATAAAATGTCTGTTTATCTTTCTCTTCTAAAGAAAGATCTTTCTCGCACTTAATAAATAATTCTAGAAACTTCTAACTAGAACTTTCTAAACTATTTTCGTCTTCCCAAAACTCGTCTTCAAGTAGTTAGAATCAAGCATCGCAGAAATAGGTGGAAATGTCAATGACATTCATTCCGGTTATCTTTTTTATTATTGTAATAACATTTATATTAGGTGTTGGAATTAATTCGTAGCGTTTTTTAATGAAAGAATGTTATTTATTTCACATGAGCATTAAAAAATACATTAATGAAAGTACTTCCCATCACTTGTAAAACGCTACGAATTAATTCCAACACCTAATACTTTAGCAATGATTTTCACTATAACATAGGAGTATGGGTTTTCATATTAGAAATATCTTGGGTATCTCATATTACGATTTCCATGCCCTATGGTTTTACGATCATCAAGTCTAACTATCCCGTATTTTTCTAACCTTATTCTATCACAACATAAAGAATTTATTATCGACTATTTATTTATTAAATGATAAACAAGATTTAAAGGTTCATCTCAATGAAATTTAAAGACATGCAAATTCTAAAATCTTGTTTTACAATAACTACAAGCATGATCTAATAATGAATTTTCTACTAAATAGTTTTCAATCCAAGAACAATAAATTTATAGTGGAACCAATAGATAGCGTTTATTAATTTAGCAAAACGCCGCTATCTCAGATTAGGCGCTTATCTTATAACAGGAGACTTTCCTCTATATAATATAATACATCCCGCATATAAGTATCTCAACATTTGTTGGTTGAAATTTTTCGACACGTTATGTTTAGACGCTATTATATGTATAAACATAAAATAAATGATTAGACAAGTAGAGAAGAACAGCTATACAATCAGTAATTAATATTAATATTTCATACCATACACACGGTATCATATTATTTTATAAATTCATTGATAAATATATAAATTAGTGATATATAACATATTTATAATAATATAATAACATTCTTTCCCGGATAATAATTTATATATTAATAAATAAATAATATTTTTTTAATCGATCTCGCATTTTTACATAAAAGATTTATCAGTGCTATACAACATTTGCAGAAATTAATAAGAGAGAAATTAATAAGTTGCAAAATCGTGCCAATTTATTCAACTCTAATAAAAGTTACGTTTTTAATTAATTGTTTTTTATACAACACACGTCAATCGCTAACTGTTGCTTTATGTAAGACACATGCCACGCCGTACATTTGCAGATATATATTTTATCGGATAGTAGGTCCTCCTATTGTTCAAATCTTTTGTAATTTATGAAAATTGTAAAATAATAATGTTGCAATAAATCAAGATGCCACGATTTACTACAAACATTTCGAACCTCTCAACGTGCGTGACGAGGTGGCCGAGTGGTTAAGGCGTTGGACTGCTAATCCAATGTGCTCTGCACGCGTGGGTTCGAATCCCATCCTCGTCGAACTTTTTTTTATTTTTTTTCACAGAGAGCAAATTTAATGTTACATAAAACAGTTAATAATTCAATATTTATCAACTGTGTATTATATGAAATTTAATATTTATACAATAACAAACTTAACAAATTCTGCAGAAACAAATTTTTTTCGAGATTTTTATTTGTTTGGCTTACATTCATTGAAACAATTTAATTTTAAAATACTATTTTGTTTAATATCAATTTTTTAGTTTTATTGTATTAAAACTATATTGTTTGGCAAAAAAAAAACATGATTATTTGAAATAATAAGTACTCTTCGATGAAATAACATTTCAATATAAAATACTATTTTGTTTAATACTAATTTTTTAATTTTATTATATTAAAACTATATTATTTAGCAAAAAGAAACACGATTATTTGGAACAATACTTTTCGATGAAATAACATTTTCTTTGATTATATTAAATATTATTCTATGAAATAAAATGTTTCTTTGCAAGAAAATATTTAGTTTTAGATATAGGATAAGATGTATATAATTTAAAGTAAGATATGCATTTAAAAAGTTTTAAATGACCACACTTTTTAATTTAAACATCAATTTAATTAGACTATTTCAATGAATATATTTCTTTGGATTTAATAAAATTTGTTAAATTTAAAGGAAACTTTATCACAAAATTAACATTTTATGATAATTCGATATTAATTATACATACGTAATGTATAAATAAGTTTCATAAAGAAATAAATTCTTAATAAAAATATCATTGCATATTTATGATGATATGTATGATAATTTCAACGTTAAAAGAATCTTGTGGTAGCATCTTTATCATTTGTCATATATATGATCATGCCTGAGCGCATGAAATGTCAGTTGTGGAATTATTGAACTTTAATTGCTACTAAAAATATCTCGATATTTTTGTATTAGGATTTTTCTAAA